TTCATGTGATGTTTTAGGCTAATCGAGAATTTGGCTGTCTTACCACATTTGTTTTCAGCAGGGTAATGAATTATGGGTTTATCTTATAAAAATTAATCCAGATAAAGGCGATTAGGAATATTACACCTTGTCATTTGCTGCAACTATTAAGCCAGATTCTCTTTTCTCGCTGCCCGTTTCAGTTGTAAATCTTGGTATATTTATTGTATGAAATATACAATTGTGTCACATGGCCTAAAAAGAGGAGGGGTTTAGGCTGGTCGACACTATCCTATACCTAGCTAACCCGATTCACGACCCATTCACTCATTCAGTTGTAAATCTTGGACTAATATACACAGATATCGCGAATTATATATGTGGATATGATGCCTGGTTCCTGGCAAAGGGGGCAATACGTAAACAGCTCTTTAATGTTATTACTACCTCGTCAATGGGGTAATTACGGGAGTATAGATAACATAAGTGCTTCTTCACCTTTCTCGGTGACTTCAATGCAAATCACCCACCACCCCCACCAAAAAATTAAAAAAATTCAAAGGTGCAATCATAATAATCCTCTGAAAAAAACAAGAGTAATCCTACTGTTCGAACTATTAAAAGCTACTTTCTCTCGCTGGTAAAATCGTCGTGGGAATTCTATAAGATAGACAGGGATCAGCAAACCAGTGATACAACGGACATAGTCTTCATTCTTAGTCAAATCTAGAAAAGATGTAAGGAGTAAAAGTGTCAAGGGTTATATGCCCCTGCTGGTGTTTGAAACATATATTTGATACCGTAAGCAGTGTTAAAACAAAAAGCTCGGCGGAGATGAAAAACTACGAAATTGCGTCCATTCATGCGCATTTAAATCACAACCTGTCTACACTAATACGACATGGCAGCTAGTAAGGGAATTTCTGCTCGCAGACGACTTGGCACTAGTCACCGCTCAGAATTAGCCGTTCAACAAAGAATTACTCGCTTTGTATAGGCTAGTAATTCTCAACCTGAGTCCATATGGATCCTGTGAGATTCAGGTAACATTACTGGAGACCACAGGGACCCATTTTAAGATGGTTTATTAGGAGTATTTTTTCCTATTTAGTGTACATAAATGTTCCAAAGAATTTAGTTGTTAAATATAAGTTTATTTTCATTAAATTAGTTAAATAAAGCATATATATTTACTATTTTTGTAATACAATTCCTAAACTTATACATTAGTAAAATATAAATTAAGCTTCTTTTTGTTTTTCATTGAATGGTTATGGGGGTCCGCCAAAAAGAAAAAAAGTAAAAGTGGTCCATGAGTAAAAAAAAAAAAAATATATATATATATATTTGAGAACCACTGGTATAGGTTAACAAATCTGTTGGTTTAGATCCTTATGAAGACAACCGTAATTCTTCATTAGGTCTGCAACCCTGTAAAGTTTACCAATCGTCTTTTGTATTTATCGGTTCGACAAAGTTGAAGGAGCTTTTTGGTTTCATTCTTGTATTTAGTCAATCAGTGATTGGTTTTGCGTAAATAAATTGAGTATAAGTAGCCAGGATGTTGAAGTAGCTACTGAGATATATTTTCTGTTCATACGTTATTTTTATAGATAGAAATATTTAAGTAATGTTCTGTTTATAATAAACAATATTGCTATCTATCGGCTTGAATTTCCGAGAACAGTACTTGCTAGCCAGATACTTCCTCTATCGCTAAATGGTACAGCACGGTTTCCTGTAGGACAGAGCTTCGGAGGACATATTTTCTATGAAATTTCTCGGACATTCATGGCAGTAAATGCTTTTAATACTGTTCATTATAAACAGAGCATTTACTTAAATATTTGTATCTATAAAAATAAGTAGAAACAGAAAATATATTAAAATAGTTGTTGGGCTTAGTCCACTTTATAATATATGTAACAGTGTGAGTCCTAGAAAGTTAGACACAATTTCTTAAGAATTTGTATGGTTAAGACCTTCAACTATTTATTAAAATAGTATATATTACAAACGTGTAGAGAAAAAAGGGATTTAACTTTTTAGACTTGGCGTTTCAGAATTGTTCTTTCGCCGCAAGACATCGCGTGCAATACGGATTGATTTGGTTCCAATTATCAAATCAATTTAATACAATCAAACAGAATTACAGCAAAACTGCGAACTATAATTTAGTAGTAGCTAACAAAACTTATTAAATGATATATTTTTTTAGATGTTTTTCCTTAAAAAGTAGATATTATGATAGTGCTTAGAGCAGACATCGAAAGGAAACTAAAGGAACTCTTAGAGAAGGTAAGGAAGGAAAGAGAAAATAAAGAACTAAATATCAGTTGTAAGAAGATAGGAAATATGATTGTCAGTAAAAAAAAAAAAAAAGCCTAACATGCGAATTGCAAATTGGAGGCCTCAAATTCAAGTAACTACAAAAATTTAAATATTTAGGAAGTATTTTAAGAGGACTAAAAAATGGGGTTGTCACCGACATTCAAAGAAGCGTTCTGCTAGCAAATGATGCATTCCAAAAGTTAATGTATTTAGAAACGGGGAAAATATTAGGAACAGAAAAAGGTACGTAACTGATATTACATATTCTTTGCCCATATAATGAATGCTGGACAAAAAAAAACATGAAATGTGCTTAAAACAAAATGAACATGATTTATACAATAGAATGACATTTATACATAGAATCAGAAAGAGATAGTTGAAATTTCTAGAGCATATAATTAGAAACGATGACTTAGAAATTTTGACACTGACCGGATGTCAAGGAGAGACAGACGAAAACAGCGCATAACCTACCTAAGAAGCTTGCCAAAAACAGCAATTATGAGAAATAACAAAAAGGTAAAATTTACTAAGAGCTACAAAGGCTATGGAATTGTAGATGGCCTTGATCACCCACGTCGTTAAGGCACATGGCACATAGAAGAATCTCCCCATATATACCGGTGACAGCTCTTGTACGCGGTTGAGTTAAAAAGTTCTCTACTGGCCAAGCAGGAATTCCAAAATGTTGATATTTGGGAAGTGGATTGAGCTGAGAAATTTTCATCACCCCCTCTTATATGTCAATATGCATATGTATGCCTTTGCATTTTGGAGAGTGCATTGATATTCATAATAAAATTATTTATATATAAATGTTTTAATAACATGCAGAGTCTTCATACACATACACATGTATGTATTGTTTGAGCCGTGCTCATACTTTTAACTCCTGTCGCGTTCTTTCATTGAATTATAAAAAAAGAAAACCACGGGAAAAACTTCATATTTTCTTTAGATTGGAATCCGTTATTTGCTGTTCACCGCATTGGTTTCTCTTCTGAAGATAATTTACAGAAATGTAACTTTCGTATGAACCAGAGATTCAAAGAAAGCATAAGCCAAAAAGTTCTTTGAAATATGTACATTTTAAGATTTATTTTCGTAAAAGAATATTACTTTCAGGATAATTCTTTTTAACTAAATAATAACAAATATAAAGGAAACTCACTGGTTTCAGACATATATCATTTCAGTGATATTCAGGGCAAAGAAGTTCGAGAAAATTATTTGAGCCGTGGTTCAAGTCCCTGCAGCAAAGGAAGTATTTAAAACGTGTTTTTGTTTTTTTTTTTTTTTAGACCTGCGGATGGGCACACGTCCATCAAAGAAACTTCTCATAAAAAATCCCCCCCCCATAGAATTACAGGCTCCTTTTCAAAGTAGAGAACTAAAAAGACTTTAACGAATGATTTCGGTTAAGCGAATGACAACGTTTCTTTGATTTTGAAAAATATTCCCGTTAGTTACCATAAAAAATAATTTGTATCAAAATAGCAACCACAAATTATCTCAATTCTCGCACTTTTATTTTTTAAAGCGAAAAGCACGATCTTCAGGATTAATATTAATAGTCCATTCTCAAACTTCTGAACCAATAAAAACATTCACGTTTCAGTAGGTATGTGATTAGACATGAAGTTTTAAAGCAGAGATTTTTCTACATATATTTGATGTTTTCGTGACTTTTGAATCTGATGGAAAGAAAATAGTCGCTGACCTCTTGTTCTCAAGAAAATTCCCCACTTATCACGATATGAAATAACTGAATGATAAGTCAAAATAAATCCTTAAACATCTATACAAAACTAGGTAACGTTACTGAAACACAATATTAAAAAATTGCGTTGTTTATTCTCAAACATTAAATATTTTAATCAAGACTGTCTTTTAAGCGTAAGTAAATCACACATGCTTGCATTTTATCTGGGTCCACAGAAAAAAAAATTTATTAAGCAAATCGCGCGCGCACACATTCATATAAATAAACGTGATTTATTTTTCTTCAAGAGATTTCTTGTTGACTAATAATAACAAATTTTCTCAAAATGATAAAAGCAGGCATCTGCGATATACATTTATATTTATTTATATATATATATATATATATACACACGAGTGAAAAAGAATGACAACAAAACTGTAGACCCCTGAGGTATGTGCACGGGTTCATATATATATATATATATATATATATATATATATATATATACTCCTTCTTACTATATATAGTTTAATGGGTATATTTATGTGAGTTTGTCTTTTTTTTTTTAATTTTTCTTGATCAGGCTGAATGCTATGAATTCCACTGCTTAAAAAACACAAATAATTTCGAATCCTGGCTATTATACTATCGCCCGCCATTCCAAACACTTCCATCGTTCTCATTGTGTATTGGAGATATTTTATATTTAATACTGAACTTCTCTAGATTTTCAGTGAGAAAAGCATTGAAGGTATGCCCAGGTTATATGTTGTGAACTAAAAACTAACGTTTGCAAAAGCAGTCGTTCTTGAATAACTGGCTACAAGCGGGTGGGACAAAGAGCAAATCCGGAAAAGATTTCGGGACTTTTTTAGAACAGACCCTCACCTCCTATGGACGCAGCAAGACATAGATAGCTGATGTGGGGACAGTGGCTGAAAGGTCACCTAGTTCACTTTCCTTTCAAAAATTAACTCTGCAGAAACAGTGGAGGAGAAGCAGAGCCAATGTAAAACTAGGATTTTCTCCAAATACCATATCTGTAACCAATGTCAAAAAAACTTTCATTCGCGATCTATCTATCTATCTATCTATCTATCTATCTATCTATCTATCTGCACGTGCATATATACTAGAATACAGTCAAACGTAACAAAGAGAAATCAGTAGCCGCCTTTGAAAATGCACTGATATTTCTTCAGCGACAGTCATTCACTCCTGTAGTTCACTGCTCCTAACAAGCAGGGATTTTTTTTCTCCTGATGACGGCCATTTTGGTAGAAACTAGTCAAGAACAGTAATTGAAATAATAAAAAAAATATTAATATACAAGCCAGTATGTCTGAAAATTTTTATTTTTTAATATTTTTTATTGTTAAAAACATATATATATATTTATATGACTTATTCAGCACATCGTATGTTTCTTAATATAGTCACCGTTATCAGGCGAAGAGAGGCATTACCTGTTATTAGGTATAGTTTTTTTTTTGAGGTCTTCTTCAGTGAGATATATATGCACACACATTAGCTTAAAAGATGCCGTCTCATCACGCATTTAATCTAGTTCATACGGAGGGTTCTTGATTGGGCCTTCGGTTTGTTCAGGAGTTTGAGAGTCCCTAAGTCCTTGCATATTCTTAACATTGTAAGTTTTCCTGGCTGCTGTTTGATCTGGGTTTTCATTTGTAATGCACTTTCTTTTCCTTACTGCAACCTTGGTTCTTTTGATTGCAATCTGGTCCTCTGTTAGCGGAGATTTCATTTTGCGACTCATACTGAGGCCATATGTGATAGGCAACAAAAAAACTAAAGAACTCAAAATTGATCGCTGCTTTTAAGTATTGCCTTAATATTTAAGATTACCTTTTAAAAGTTCAACGATAATTCTTCTTACGTCATTTAATTTAAAGAATATTTGATGTACGTAGGTCCTTACTTTCCCTACAAAAATACTTTTATTTCATCGGGGGCTTTTGCAATTAATTTCAATTATTTCCAACTTTATTTCCAAGCTATAAAAATTGTTATCATACAAAAAAAAATCGTCAAAAAAAAAAAAAAAATCACGTAAAAAATCGCCGAAAATAATCGCAGTAATGAAAAATTGAGAATCCAAAATTTCAGGATTGAGGATTCAATATATTGGGCTAGGAGTAAATCTGAAAAGTGTCACACACTGACATTCTCTCTTTTTTATATATATATATATATATATATATATATATATATATATATATATATATATATATATATATATAAAGAAAGATTGGAATGGAATACATATCAACACTGCATGATCAGTTTCACGCCTCGAGTGATTTTCAAGCCGTTTGTTACTAATCCGTGCGCAGGCACCTATATATCGGTTAGTGGAAAAACCGCTTCTTCCTAGTTCTTTTGATTGGGGCTAATGATTTGATCATTTATTGTTTTGACCACGTGTTTTATTTTATTCATTTTTTTCTTTATTTTATTGTATTATTTTCTCAGATCTGAATTTTGATGTTTATCACAGTTAGGTTATTGGGTATTTAGTCTTCTGTATCCTAGTAGGAATTTGTTTTCGTATCTTCATTTTGGAATACGTTCTTTTGTTTCGGAATTTATACTGTCTTTGTAAAATGGATATTGTTATTTTCTCAAGCTAAAGCTGACGTTGTTTTAAGGTATAGTTATCAGCTTGTTTTATTTTTCTTATTCTGCTTTTTTATGTCATTTGTATTGTTCAGTTTCCATATGTTTTTAGAATGTTGTGCTCTTTGAATATTTTTTGTTATCAAATGATATTAAGTGTGAGTATCTTTTGTTTTCAGCAATCTTCTGTCTCATATTTTTTATGGATTTACTTTTATCTAACACTTGCTTCGTTTATTACGTTGGTTTGTAAGCACACATATCTCTCTCTCTCATGTATATATATATATAAAGTGTGTGTACGTGCGTGTATGTTAAAGTAGTTTTTTTTTTATATATTTGAACGTATGTCTGAATTTCCATTAATATGCGCGATTGCATTATGGAGGTAATTGATAGTGTCAAAAAGTATGATAATTTTGCTTTCATTCATATCACAAATGTCTTATTTACTGATTTTAAAAAGGTTATAATTACCAAAACTTATTTTCGCCATCGTTGCTGTTGAACCCTTATACATGTGCATATCACTGCATCAGGCAAAATGATTGATTTTTCATCGTCATCAACAATGTATTAACATTGTTATAAGTCGCTTCTTCACTGGAAGGTAGATATTTCAGTTTTCGCTGAGAGCAAATAGAAACCCAAAATTAGATCAAATTGCTTCTATCTGCTCATGAATATAAGCGTGTAATAATTATATATATATATATATATATATATATATATATATATATATAATTATTTTTTTGTAAACTCACTTACAAACGTGTTAAATAAATGTATAGCTTTTTTCTCCTTGTTCATTTTATGACTAAATCAAAGTCTATCGGCCGTCAAAATGTTTAAATTATTTAAAGACCAGCATTAAATTCACTTTTCAATTATAATTGGAAAGATTTCTTCGTTTCTTTCTGCTTTTGATTTAAACCGTTTCTTTTTCTGTGTGATGTACTTTATCAATTCTCGTATTGAAGGAAGTACCGAAAGAATACGATTGAAAGATGTTTTTGTTTTAAAATTGCAAATCGTCCAAATGAAATAACAGGTTATGAATTGCTGCCTACCGAAATATTTTATTTGTGATTAAATCGGAAGATAGAATTTATTAATATCCGGTTTTATTGCTATCGTCTCTCTCTCTCTTTCTCTCTCATTTGCACGCACACACACATTTGCAGAAAAATGAAAAATATTGTAGTAAATACAACTTGTTTTTAAAACGGTGAGCCATATCAGAGATAGAACCACTAGAGTCAGTTATAGACAAACAATTAAAATCGCTTAAAATTCCAGTCGCTGCAAGCTTGTTTGCGGGACTGTCAGTTTAATGACCATTTGTTCGTCAAGTACGAATATTTGTGGTGTGTAATATATATGAAGAAATATAGTTTTAAGGTGTGCTATATTTATGGGATAAAGTGCTCAATATCAGAGATAGAGCGTATGTAAATATAAATATATAAGTGAACACTGAAGTCAACAATCATCAGGCCTGACGATTGCATCTAGCATGCAACAGCCTGTCGTCTCTGAGTGTTGACTTCAGTGTTCACTTATATATATCGATTTCGCCCCATGCAAATCAGTAAAGTCAGTACGTCACAAGGAGTTAATCGGTGTGGAATAATTAGAAAATAGAAATATTACTAAGGAGCAGTAAGAGGAAAACGTATTCAGGAGGATATTAGATAGCAATTGACATTGCATTTAAATTTTTGAAGAATAATGTTTGCTTGAAAGTATGGAGCCGATAGGGTGCTCCAGAAGCGAGAAAAGAAACTTTTAGTCTAGCATAGAATTTCCAGTTACATCTAGCAAGCTACACTGTAAATTGATGAGATCTCGCCGCCAGTTTTGTACTGCGTTTAAATTTTAAAAAAGTCTAGCTGCCATGACTAAGAGCTCATTCGAACAATTCTCATGAAAGTATTTACAGAAAAAACACAGGGAAGCAACCTTACGGCGGTGGTATAATGTATGATTTTATAGAATAATATGATAATGAGACAAAGTCGAAAAGCTATAAAAGACACGTCTAGCCGAGAGCATCGGTTTTCTTGGCTTTATTTTTAAAAGTTTCGTTAAGGCTAATTTTATTTGTTCGGCGACGATGTGTTAGAGAAATTACTGTTGATTAGGGTTTGTATAATTTAATGTTGCTGAGTTTCTCGAAAAATATTACTAAGTTCATGAGAAAAAAATGACGCCAAACCTTTCCCTCACGCAAACAAAATAAAGGTCCCATTAACTTATTCTATCGTAACCGAATGCACGATAATTATAAGCAGGATGAAAAAGCAATTAACATAATTCAACTGTACATATCAATTAATGATCCTAACAAATACTTAAGATATATCATCTACTACAATAAGTTCAAAATATCTGTCTTGATTATTACCAACAACACCAGACCTTATAAATGCCCCCTATGCAAAAATAATGTTGTCTGTGAATTCTCATTCTCCCAGGGAGATTTAATCTCCAACACTAATAATCAAAAGACAACAGTAAATACTTACATTAGTCACACATGCACCACACTCTCTGCTTTAGAACTTCAGTGTTTACTACTTTTTAGAGGAAGTAGGTTTTCATGGTCAAACTCCATAAGTAGTACTTCATTTATACTTGTATTTTTCTTCTTTTCCCCAATTTCCTTTATTTCATTTGACTCACGCATACACACAAATAATTCATAAACATACACATTCAAGTAACTCCTACTCACATCCCAAGCATATTACACAGAATAGATGTTGCCGCTGTTGTTTGTGTACCAAGTAGGTTTTATGGGGTTTTATTTCTATTTCCGCTCACAATCGGTTTTAGGTTCAGATTTATTCTCTCGGATTGGTTACTAATCCAATTTGCATTTTTATTAAACCCTACATGTGGGGGTGGAAGAAGCATCTATCTCTTCTCCCCCCCCCCATATTCTTACCATTCCAAAGATATTTGTCCCCAAAGCAAACGCAACGGCCTCGAATGGAATTCGAACTCGAAACACTGATCCCCCTTTCCATGCAGTTAACCGCTACACTACGAGTACATCTTACTTCTACGTATTTTGCGCTGAATAAAGAAAGCCTAATATCCCCTGATGGGTCTCAAGTTATTTATTCAAAGATGATCAATAGAGAAAATCATTACTTTCTTGTTTCGGAATACAGATACCTTGTACGAGGATGTACTGAAAATTCTTAACTAGATAAAAAAAATTGGATCAAATTTTGGCATGTGGGTAGAGCTAAGAATTTTTCAGCACCATTCTTATCGAATAATTGAATTTATTTTCTTCTTTTAAAAACAGTTCAAAAATTTTTTGGAACAAATTAGAATAAAATAGGAAAACTTAAGAAAAATGCTAAAACAACGTTCAATCTTAAGAGGAAACTTTAAGAGCAACATTTTACTTTTTAAAACTATGCGCATAATAGTCACGTATAGATATACTGACGGAGTTTTAACGATATTACCTCAAAATGTGAAAGATGACTATAGATCTTCTCGGTTTCTTTTTACAT